CTCGTCCGATCACCGAAGTCAAGCAGCATCGGGCACGGTTAGTACTTGGATGGGTGACCGCTTGGGAATACCGTGTGTTGTTGGCTCTTTTTTTTTAGGCCAGTCAGTGGCCATGGTGGTTTGGTTCCAGACTCGTAGTGCGAAAGGCCGAATTCGATTCCCAGTGAGATCAATTTTTCCGAGTTGGTCTTTTCTCATATTGCGATGATGGAGCCTGACCCCCTGATCACGGGGAGAATAATTTCGGCGAGTTCCAGGGTTCCTCGGAATTTTAAGAAATTGTTCTCCTAAGTTGACCATCCCTACCATAACTGGTACTCGTCGTCCTACCCCTACAGATAGGACTAGGGTAAAACTGGATGGACGGACGCAACGGGAAGGAGGCAGGCATGTATATATATATATATATATATGTATGTATGTGCTGCCGCCTGTGTGGCGGATGACCTGGCACAGCGCATGCATGATGTGTGGCCCGATATCTCATACCGCTGTGTCAGAGTCAATGTGACAGCGGAGAGTGTCGGCGGGGTCCATCCTCCGGCCACTGAGCGGTGGTGGGGCACCCGCTAGTGAAAGGAAAGGGGCATGAACATCAACCCCTCCCTACAAGCGGTCATGAGTCCAAGGCGGAGTTTCCCCCTGGATTCATTAACACCAGGCCGCGGAATGGCAGCGGTGCGAATTTTCGAACCTGTGCACTGCAGGAAAAAAGGGGGCTATAAGGGAGGTGGAATCATCCTCCTGGGGAACGGTACTGGCAAGCCGGCTGGGCTTGGGGGAGCCGCGGTTGTTAATAATTATAATACCTCTCCCCCTCGTAACCTTACGGAATATGAAATATAATATATGCGGCATTTTAAATAGTATGATTTGAGCCATCTGTATTACTAAAATTATTTTCTCCATGATTTTCCGTGTAATAAATAGATTGGGAACATCGTTTTAACACGTTCGTTATATTTTACATAATGAAAATGAAATTAATCCTATATTCTCATTAGAAATTATAAACTACGGCCTTATATTTAAGAACTCAATGACTCGTTTCAGTTTTATTTTTCAAATACGTTGTTTAGAGAATTTATTGGATTCAAGAAAATATTATAATTGAAGAGACCGTCACTGAAATAAGCGCTGGTAGCAAACGCGCTAAAGTGTATTTTAGGATTATGTGCATATAAAAATTGTTTCGATATTGAAACTGATAATTTTGCAATATATTAGTCACGATCAATCATCCATACACTCCCATTCGTCTCGTAAAATATGTTTTGCGAGTATTACAGTTTACAAACTTACAGGAATACACAATAAACCAGATTAGAAGAAATATACAAAAAGTGATGGCATAAGCGTAGAACCTCAGGACGAGAAACATGTTGAACAGTATCCGTTATTCCCTCTTGTTCGTTTCTTTTGTCTTAATATCGGTATTCTTTCCAACAGCCGATGCAGTAAGTACAATTCACTGTGAAATATTATAGTATAAAACGAATGTCACTGAAACGAAATTTGTATATTCTCAGCGTATTGTCTGCTATTGTGATGCTCCAAGAGTACCGAGATGTGAGGTAAACACAGGTCACATCTAATTAATTGACGTTACTGTACATTTTATATAATAAGGACACTTATGTACGTGATTTTATTTTTTTTTTTAGAGAAGATGCGGTCGACGTTAACAATGAATTTGTATGAGAAAATAACTTAAAATGACGAAGAGGGTAAAGATTATTGTGTATCTACATAGATTGTAATTCCGGTGTCATCGGCAGAAATAAATATTATGTATAGATACTAAGAAAACCTCAAATGTTTTGTTAGTTTTATTTGTGAAAATGAGTCACAAAATGTTCTTACAGTACACCTCTGACGCCTCATTTTCTGTGCATCCTTATGACTGGAGGAGTCGCGCAGCAATGAACGGAATGCGATAAAACGAGGTGTATGAACATGGGTGCCGGATTTCGTTTCTTAATTTAGTCGAAGTGTTTTGAATTGACTTATGACCGACTAAAACGGCAAAATTGTCTACTGTTCGGTAGCGGCTTTCCCTTGCCGCTATGCACTTTTAGCTTGGTGGTCGCGTCCATACATAAAAGAAGCGAACTGCACAGGATACTGCAGTATTACAGTCGCGAAAAATAAGTCTTAACGATAAGAAGTTCGTGTTTGAACTACGTACATAGGGAGTGTAATATAATGTGTAATGTCTTTGGTATCCACAGATTAAAAAATTTTATGATAACGTAGGTGTTCCGTCCGACGCGGAACAAAACAGAGAAAAATCCTCGAAGGTTCGTTTATGATATGGACGTGCCAACAAATTTACTTTCGGGATTAGCTTTTTTCGAACTCAGTTTATTTATTTTAGTTACAAGGGGCAATTGCACCCTAAATCATGAGAAAATCATTTAGTTAATCCGCGCATCTCCAGACAATAGTTTTGGAATTTTCGTCGTTCGTACAGACAACCGACCATATCATAAACCGGGAATTTCCGAAGGGTCGACGCGAACCTCGTTCGTAACGGTTCCGCCAGCCATGCGTCAACTTGGAGGAAATTTCCAAGGCATCGGCAAATCTTCGAGGATCCCTCGCACGTGGCCATTGCCCTCACCCTTGCACCAAGAGGGCTGGCCAAGGGGCGTCGTCCAAGACGCCCCCGATTTTTGGAATTATGTGCTGATTGGGTATTTTCAATTTTCCAATCAGCGCACTCGACACAAAACCTGTAGGTGTCGTATAAAAACACCTACAGGATCGCACTCGAGAGAATTTTCGCTCATTACACAACGTTAAGTCCATCGTTCGGGACACATACGTCGCTCAATCGTTCGGAGTGACGATACAAGAGGTTTTCTTCGCTCAATCGTTCGGAGTGACGATATCTCAGATACTCAATCGTTCGGAGTAACGAGATATCATTCATTCATTCAAACAGTAGTCAGTCCATCGTTCGGGACAACTACAACTAGTGATCTGATCTCAACCAGTCGGAGATCAGAGTTGAATCAGTCGATTTCTGAAGAAATTCGTAAATCGACGCGTCGCGAGTATTGACGAGACCTAAAGTTAAAGCTGGGATTTACAACCCCAGCCGAGGAATTTAATCCGCGTTAGTATTCGTGTACGTGCGACGTCGCATTTTTCGGTACCTCGAGCCGGATCTACTACGCAACATTTGTTGATCCTTCGAGCCGGATCTGTGACGGTACAATAGGTATAAAAATTATTGCAATATTGTAATTGATAATTTTTCCATATACTAGTCACAATCAATTATTCTTATAGTCACATTCACCTCGTAAAATATGTTTTACGAGCATTAAAAATTACAGATTTGAATAATGGTAACATAAAGTAGATTAGAAAAAATGTACAAAAAGCGATGGCATGAGCATTTGTCAAGCATTTACGAATATTGAACAGTAGTTAGAACCTCGGGAGAAGAAACATGGTGAATAATATCCGATATTCTCTCTTGTTCATTTCTTTTATTTTAATATCGACATATTTTTTAACAATCGATGCAATAGTGAGTATAATCCACTGTTGAATATTATGTCTAATCATTATCACTATAATGAAAGTATGTATATTTTCAGCATCGTGGGTGTAATTGTAGAAGGCCACTGGGTAAAAAATGCAAGGTAATGTTATATCTAATTAATTTTAGAGTACTTTTTGAATATTGACACTAACTGTGTGTGTGTATATATATGTTTTTATTCATCCTTTAGGGCATGTGTGAAAGACGCGGCTAAAGAAATCGCATAAAAAAGTTAAGAAATTTATAGAACACTATGAATACTCAACGTAATTTCGATAATGCGTGAAAATAAACTATATGAGAATCTTTGAAACGTGTAGTTTAATCAATCGCCACTAAAATCATTTTCCTAATATTTCAATAATTCATTTCGTCTATTTTCTTTTTAAAACGTTCAAACACATGGCACGGAGGTAAGATAAATGTAAAAGTTATGAAGGCATCGATCAAATTTTTACTCGCCGCGAGAGAAAATGTAGATTTCTTCGTAACATTTAACATTTCATAATCTAACACGCATGCCATTCGGACGAATAAACGTCTGGGTTTTGTTTCTTAGATACAGCGCGAAAAATATCGTTCGGGTCAATTGCATGTATATCGTTAAACGATAAAAAACTTCGATAAATGATATTTTCCTGTAAAAAGTTTTGCACGGCGAATTTTCATTTTCAGTCGTGAAAAGGAACTCGAAACTGATGTTCTGAATATTCAAGTCGAATAAATTTGTTCCGGCACTCCACTCTGATTTCGGTCGTCATCCGCGTGTAAATAAATGTCGTACTGCTCATTCTGTATTTTAGTTTGATAATACGAAACGCGTATGACTTGAAAGACTGTATTCCCACGGTTAAATATACGACGTATCATATTTAACACTAGAGCACCGCACCAGTTAAAATTACTAGTTTCGGTGTTTGTTTCGCAGTTAGTGATACCTCAAGAGCACTGAATATTCGGAAGGATCCTGAAAATTTTTCAGGTTATATGTTTTGGAAGCAGGTTTCTTATGCAAAAATAAAAATGCAAAGGTTTAGTGAGTAGGAAAAGGTAACTTCTATATTTAGAAAATCAAATCAAGTTTTACAGAAATACACCAGGACGATCTATGTCCTGTCCTACGGACTCTTTAACGTCGAACTGTACTGCGTAGGATAGGAAAAAGCTTTCGGTACTTATACCTTAAAAGAACAATAGTCAACCGATTCAAGTAGGCTTGACCTGCAACATGCCGGAGACTTCAACGTTAAGGGTTTTTCCTGATTGCTTTATTATGGCTACCTGATATTTGTGTAAGAGGTGTTTTCTAGAGGAACTGTTTTACTTCAATAAAAATAAATAGTTTCACTTGAATATTATAATGAATGTCTGCACAAACTGAAATTAATTCGTCGTTACAATTTTTATAGGGATTACATATCAATCGTATTCAATGTTCGGTAATTCTAATGTTAAAGGAGTGGAGGACGTCATACTTGTTGTTATAATAAGCTCGAACTCTGAATTCTATTTATGAAATGAACGAAGCAAATACACGAAGTTCGTTGTATTAGATTGCAATTTTCTTTCGTCATTATGTACGGATAAATAACCATTCACTTGTTTTAAGTATTACTATAAATACCGTACATCGATAAACATTGTTAACAATTTGAAAAATTCAAGCAAAAACTGCTGATTAAACGACCGTATTCTGGGAATCGACTTAGTGTCCTTTATGTCCACAATAATGCATCACGCATTGCAGCCATGCAACAACAATATTGTTGGAGACAAAAACCGTTATCGAGAACTGACGGACAAAGTTATAGCTAAAACGTGTCACTTGTTAAGACGCCCATGTAAGCCATTCATCGGTGTTAACGATATTGGTAATAAACATGGGTAATAGGTAAGTAATTGTGTAAAGCGGGTGTGAAAGCAGAGAAACAAGCGGAAGATGCGAAAATCGCGAAAACTGGCGTGTAAGACAATGAGAAAAGCGTATACAGTGAGTCAGTCTTATAAAAAACTTGTGAAATAAAATTATACAGACCGACAATACATGGAATACTTATTCTAATCGATAAATAAAATATTATCCCCACATATCCTATTATTCCTCAAATTTGGGTCGACAGATTTCATAGACAACATCGTTTTTTAATTGCAATACATTTGTGATGGAAACGTCTTTTAACGATTACAAGAACATTTGTATCAAAATGGCTAGTATAAAATATAACGTTCCAAATTCCTTTATTTCGCTTTATTTCGTACATACAGGGTGTCCCGTAACTGGCGGTACAAGTGAGCAGGGGCAGATTCTACGTGAAAAACTGAATCGAAAATGTAGAATAAAATTTCTTAGTACAAAGCTTTGTTTTTGAGAAAAATAAGTATGAAAGTTTTTCAAGGATTATCCAGGTTATCAAAAGATTTCACTATCTTACTCTCCCGAGTAGGAGAGTGTTTCTGTACTTCTTGTAATGTTTACAGACATTGACAACATGATGGTATTTCTTGTATTTTACTTTCTTCTATATATTTTTGGAAGAGGGTTTTAAATTTCTGAAATACTATGAATAATCTTGAGAAGTAAGGCGCTTTTTAAATGGGAATAGAGCTTTTGTAGACTGTAACAAACAGAGACTCTAGATATTGCGTTCGTTTACTCTCCCATGGTACTTGCACTCTTCGCCAGCCACCATCACTACCGACGAACTGACAACTTTGGATGCTGATACCATAACAACGGCTACCACGAAGTATTTCATGTCTTTGGTTTGGAAACGTCTAAATGTCGGCTACAAAAATATTGAATAGAAAATATAGGGTTATATTTAACAATTATAACGTGATCATTGCATGACTTTCAAGGTCACGTTACGGTCAAATACCTCTCGCCGTGACATGTAGTGTTTCATATCCTGTTTTAGAGTTAGCTTGACGAGGTTTACGACATGGAACAGGCAGGCAGCTACCTTTGAACCCTTATTTGAGTGCCCGTGTCATCTGTGAGCCAGCAGTAGATGGTACGTGACAAATTTAGTTTTTTCCGTTTCGTGATCTTCAATTATGGTACGCTTGTTCAAAACGATTTAGGGTTCGGTAGTGCAGATCATGTCATAAACGCCGAGGACTCGAAGAATGACTTAGAGAAAGTCAACGTCAAAAATCCAAACTTGTTGATCCATGAGTCACCCATATCTCTTCCACTTTCTCTCAGAAAATCCTGTTCCCTTTCCAGAAAAGCAACACACCAAGGGCGCAATGGAAGGAAGGAAACGAGGAAATGGAAGTGATTTCTGGGTCCAGGTTCTTAGCGACACACAGAAAAGTTCAGAGTTTAGAAACAGACATCACACAGAGAACACAGTTAGGAGAGAGATAGAAACAGACAGCATAGAGAGAACATAGACAATTTTACTCAGTAGAGAAAGAATAGAGTTCAACACTAACAGAACATAACAGAGTTCAGTTTTTCCTTTACACAAGCGCGTACATATGCACACACAAATTCTGTGCAATCACAACCTAGTCAATAAATAATGTTACTCCGCGTCACGTGTCCTGCAATCATTACGGTCCCAAAGCCGTTTGCAATTTTTGGGTGGTCCTTCGCAATAGTACCATAAACGGCACCTAGTGCAAATAATCAGGGCTCGACTACACTGGTCTTTCGAGCTGGATTGTGATCATTCGACTTAGACATCTGAATTGGGTTGGAGCAGCAACCGATCGGCTACAGTTCAGCAGGTCGAAAGGCATAGCAGCAGGACTCGGAAACAGTTGGTAGCAAAATTCAGAGTGTGAGTGCATTAGAATCAGTGTGGACAACAGAGACAGAACGTGTGAACTGTAGAAGGAGTTTCGAATAGGAGGTGATCAAAGAAATCCAGGAAGATCAATGGTCAAGAAGCTGTGCCAAGGTCGACGGTAACAGCCACTAGCAAGCGACAAAGTGCAGCACTTGGCAATAACCCGTCGTAACCAACAGAAGTCTACAGCAGCTCATCGACAGTCATGGATCCAGCACGCGCGATTAGGCAGTGTCACTGGTTACGTCCGATCCTGTTACGTAAGAGTAAAATCCTTTCTTATTTGATTTAGTAGCGTATAATGGAGACCGAACTCAGGAAACTGATTAGCGACCGCGGCATGATAAAGGCTGCTTTAACCCACCTACATAAATACTTCCAGGAATTACCGGAAACAGTATCGGCAAAAGTTTTACAGAAACGATTAGACGTAAACATAGGGCTTTATAACAACTACAATACAATTCAGAATCAAATCGAAAACGCGACTACGGGAACAGGCGCTGAAGCAACTCACGCAACGGATAGATACACGTTCGAAGAAACATATTTTACGTTAGTCACAGAAATAGAATCGTTCATGGAAAACGCGCAAACACCACATAGAATAGGAAACCCGGTTGCAGGAGAAGCAGCGTCGCCCGTGCCCTCACAGATTCCGGCAGTGATCAAACTGCCAACTATACAATTACCAACGTTTGACATCAATTACAGTAGTTGGATCAGATTTCGGGATACATTCATCAGTCTAGTTCATGAGAGCGAATTGTCCGATGTACAGAAATTCCACTATTTAAATTAGGTATTAAAGAGCCCAGCTTCGCGAGTCATTCAATCGTTAAGAGTTTTCGATGCAAATTATCAAATCGCATGGGACGCTCTTAAATACCGACAGGAGAATTCAACAGCATTAAGAAAATACCACGTAACAGCACTTTTAGATATGGCAGGCACTACAAAAACAGTCTCCAATCGCGCTTCAAGAATTAATTGACGACGCGCGAAATCACTTAGCAGCGCTTAAGTCATTGAAGAAACCGGTTGATTCCTGGGATAGTTTAATAGTACCAATTTTGTGCAGAAAATTACATGGAGCCTCCCTTAGAGAATGGGAAAAGAAGGCACCCAGCGCAGAAAATATCACGTTTAGCCATTTCGGGGACCACCTGTGGAGCAGAGGACCCCAGAAGAAAAGAGAAGAAGGTCAGCGGGAAAGGCAAAGCCAGAGTTGGGCGTGTGCCGAAAAACGCTGCGGTTGCGGTTACCCTGACCTCAGAGAGCTGGCTACAATGGCCGATACAACGAAAGAGGCTAGGGCAAGCATTCGGCTCAAAGGGATTAGTATCGAGTCCGGCGAGCTTAGGCCCAAGCGAGCCATTAGAGGGGGCTTGATCTTGGAGGTCCTCGGAGAGGATAACCCCAAGAAGGCTACCGCGCTGGCAGCATCGATGAGGGCATTGTTCCACGGCACAGAAGACATCAAAATATCTGTCTCACAAAAAATGTCCGAAATACGTGTCACGCGTATTGATGAGTCGGTAACGGAACAGGAACTCTCTGCGGCATAGCCGCTAACGGCCGTTGCGACGCGGCCGACGTCAAGGTGGGCAGTATTAAATTCGCCCCCTACGGGATAGGCGCGGTACGAGCGAAATGCCCCATAACTGCTGCCAAAGACATTGTAGCGCTGAAACAGCTGGTGGTCGGGTGGTTCGCAACAGTAGTGACGCTACTG